TGTTCATTATTTTCAGTTTTGATTATTCTTACTTCTTAATTCTTTCTTGGATTTTCTGCTCCTGTCTGGGCAAAGGGAGCCTGGATGAAGGGCAGGATTGAGTGCTCTCTGAAGGGGGCTGCCCCCAGGTCCCTGTGGGCCCTGTGGGCCCTGTGCTCAGAGTTGGCCCCTTCGTGTTCCTCCTTGTCCATAGCCTTACGCTTCAGGCCATGTTACCTTAGAGCCATAGGTAGGATAAAGTGGGCACAGGGACCCGAGGGTCCCTGTTTGGGACCTGGCTTTGCGGTCAGGCAGTGATAATCTGTCCCCTGAGCCACTTGAGAGTCTCATTAAAACATGCCCCATAAATGTTAAAAATTTTACACATAAAAAATTCCATGCATGAAACTGAAACCATAAGTTTTATGGCCTCGGTTTGAAATCTTGCATAATATATAAAGCCTTGGCCCTGAACTAGGGGCTTGTAAATCAAATTTTATAAAACAAAAAGGTTCTGCCTTTCAAAGGGGTTGAGGAACTTGTAAATTTCACAAACTTTACCAACCACCAGTCAGAGCATGCTGGACCCATGGTAAGAGTAGTCTCAGGGAGTCCAGGGTCAGTGCAAAGACTGGAGTAGACAGTATGAAGAATAGAGACAATCTTTTCCCAGGGGAGCCCACAGGGCCAGTGTAGCATAGTCCTTGTGAAGCTGCTATCCCACAGCATTGAGATGGGGACGGACAAGGGGGCAGAGAGTGAGTGTGAGTACCAGGGGGAGGAGTACCAGTGATACAATTTTTAAATAAGGGCTTGGGTGCCCCCGGAAGAAGAGAGGTGGTATAAGTTAAGAAAGAAGCATAACCCAGGAGTCAGGGGACCTGGGTTCTGGTCATGACAAGTCCCGTCCCCCTTTTGCATATCAGTTCCCCCATCTATAAAATGAGGGGTGGGACAGACTTCTTTCATCAAAAATCAAAAAAGGTCACCCTCGAGTCAACCCTGACTCATAGTAATCCCGTGTGTGTCAGACTAGACTGTGCTCCAGAGGGGTTTCAATGGCTACAGTTTTGTTACCAAAACTTTCTTCTAAGGCAGACTCCACCCTCTGCCTTTCTGTTAGCAGCAGCGTGGGCTCAATGTTTGCACTATGTGGGACTCCTGTTTCATCTGATGGCTGCCTTCCCACGCTCTCCAGCCCATGGCTTTTCGGTGAGATGGCCTGGTGGTGCAGTGGTTAAGCACTCTTCTGTTGATGGAGTGGCCCGTCGGGAGAAAAACCTGGAGATCATCTCTCATAGATAGTTACATCCTTGAAAACCCTGCGGGGCTGCTCTGCTCTGCACTACGCAGTGCAGCAGCCAACTTCCTTTGCTCCTCTCTCCTCCAGCACAGGTGCTGTGAGAGCAGCTGAGCACGCAGAGGAGAGACATTTCCTCTGGACTCTCTATACTGTGGGCATCTTTGAGGCAGCTCTGGGAGAGTTTAGGTACTTTCTCTCATGGGAAATTGTGTAGAAGCAGGGCCCTGGGCCGGGATGACAGAGCTATATTCTTGAAGGGGAGGAGAGTGACAAGCTCGGGGAGAGAAGCTACATCTCTGAATGGTTGGTTTGGTATAGTGGGGATGGTTGGAGTGGTCATGGTTAGGGTTTACTGGGCTTGGAAGAAAACAGAACCAGAGTGAGGCTCTACCTAGGGTCTGGGGATGGGATATACTAAGTGACAGAGCTTGGGGGGGGATCCAAGTGCCCTCCTGACAGTCTCATCTATGAAAGTCAATATTCAAGGGCAAAGGAAAGCCACCCTGACACACACATATATAAAAAATAAATCTCTCAATTATCTCAGCTCATTTGCTTGGGGTCTCTCATTTTATGTCCCTGCTCAGTTACGCAGTATATCTGTCCGGGTAAAGAGTTACAGTCCGTTGGGCTACGTGTATGGGGTTGTAAAAAATACAGATGCCAAATTAACTGACTGTGGCACTCAGCAGCTGATTGAGCTGATAATGACGCGATCTGACCTTTTTCTAATTTCTAATTATGTGTATCTCAGCTGTGCTGGCGACATGATTCTTGTTCTAATGATGGCTCCTGTGGCTGGCCTCTTAATCCCGCCTCCCATCACAAGACGAGAAGTAGGGAGCTGGCAAAGGGCGCTGCTTGACACCCCAAATAAACTTTCTGTGTCTGAGGCCACATCTCTTTGAGGGGCCCTGGAGATGCTGCTTAAGCTTGTGAGTGCCGAGCATTTTTAAGGTCATTTCCACAGGCCATCTCTTCTTTGATTGTTATTCTTATTACAATCACATTAGATAGGTGTGATTAGATCTGTGGATGACGAAACTGAACTTCAAAGGACTTAAGGCATCAAAGACACACAGATAATAATTAGTGAAGCCAGGTTCGGATCTTTTCTCCGTGCTCTTTCCAAACATTTCCGTTTATGGCTCAGTCCCCCTCAGCTACGCGGATCTGGTGCACAGAGAGCAGGGCGGGGGGTGTCCAGTCCCCAGGCGTGTTGTTGTTATAGGTGCTGTGGACTCGATCTTGTGTAAAACAGAGCAAAACTCGGCCTGGCCCACTGCCACCTTACAATTGTTCTTAAGTCGATGCTTTTGTACGGCCTGTGAATGATCTGATAAACGACCAAAGGACTCTTGGCAGGACAAAGGGTCCCCATCCCCGAAAGGACGGTATGTCCAGTATACCACTCGTCCAGCTGGCTCATGCCGGCAGGACGCCTCCCAGCTCAGCCACACGAGACGAAGACCAGGGAACACCAGTGTTCTTGGGCTTTTAGGAAAGTCTCTGTAACCTCGTGTCTTCGAGTCAGGCTTGCCACATCACAGATACTCAGGTCTTGTGGACTGAAGGGAGAACATTCTTTGAGTTAAAAAGAATTCGGAGAACTCCTCGAAGTGTGGGGAAGGGGAAACACAGCTGCCCACCTTTGGACGTTTCTCTCGGCTCTACTACAATAGGGGCCCTTCTTCAGTGGGTCTTTTACAATTTACCTGGCAAAGAAGGGGTGCGAGATTTATTTCCCTTAGACAGCCAGCCCCTACGTGGCACAAATAATTAAGCCCTGGACTACTAACTGAAAGGTTGGCAATTTAAACCTACCTAGAGGTACCTCAGAAATAAGGCCCTGTGATCTGCTTCCAAAAGTCACCTCTCTGAAAATCCGTATGGGACCCTTCTCCTCCGCACACATGAGATGGAACCGGTGTGACTAACACCAGCACACAGTCCCCTGAAGAGGGTTTTGGCTCTTTCCTGTTACTCGGTCTGACTTTAGGCGTTTCCTCACTGATCCAGAGTTCAGTGTCTTGCGAGTGGAAGGTGAGGTACCTGCCTTGGCTGCTATGGGTCTAGACTCCATAAACCTGCTTTATGCCTTCATTCTTCCATCGTCATCATCATCCAAAAAGCTGGCCAGGGGCAGACTAGCATGCATTTCACATTAGACTAGTGGGAGAACTTGCCTGGGGTGAGTTTTTCCAATGGATGGGGAGTTGGGAGCAGCGAGGCCTGAGAGATAGTAGGAACCCTCCAGGGAACCCTGCAGGGAGGAGGGTGAGTGAGCAGAGGCAGCTGGGACCTTCAGCTGCTCTGACAGCATTTATCCTCTTGCTGAGTCCTGCTCCCTCCCTCGAAACACCAGACCATGTAATACCTCACAAATTTCCAGGCCAGTGTAGGCTCTCCCAGTAGGTCTTATGAACTCATTAAAGTACCATGCTCAACAGCAGAAGGGTGGGTAATGCATAACACAGAATAATACCGAAGTCACTTGCACCCGTTTTACAGGTGTGTTGTATCTCTCTCTGTGTGCACTTTCATTCTGGAACCATGTTTGTTTTTCTAGGTTCCCTTCCCTTTGGGGAGCAGGTATAAGCTAAGCCAAATCCTGGAAACAAGAGGTCAACATTTGAATCAGTGTATTCGTATGTGTGTGTAGGGGTGTGACTTTTACAGAATTTTCAGATTTGCTGTGCATGATCTGGGTGGTCTATCCATGGACAATCAAACACCGTGGCTCATGATCCCAGGATGAGTCTTTCTAGCATGATTGGACAGAGAAGCTCCGCTAGCACTCTCCTTCTGTCCAAGTTCCTAGGGATAGATGAAACTTTTAGATGCCATCTTTCTCATTGGTTATCCAACCCAACTGATGATGGAAATTGTCCTGGAAACTTAAGAAACGCAGGTTCACAGCCCAATTTAGTTTATGAAATCCCAATTTCCAGATGATGAAGGCCAAGAGCATGCACTTCATAAATCTGAAGTGATGGTCTGGCTGTCAAAGTAGGTTTTAAATCTGATTTACTGTGCCTCTTTCTCCACCCAAAATAGATAGGACCTTTTCCAGGCATCTTCCCTACATGCCTGTATCTCTGGGTCTCTGAGTGGCTTGAACACCTGACTCAACACTGCCCAGTCATCACCGCCTCTCGGGGCAGCTCAAAACAGGTAACGAATGTGCCAGGACTCCAGCCCTTAGAATCACCCCAGACACTCTGGCTGTTATGACCCTCCCCTTCTCTAAGGAGTCTTGGTGGCACAGTGGGTTAAGCACTTGGTTTCTAGCCAAAAATTTAGTGGCCTGAACTCATGACTTCCTCTGTGGGTGACCGATGGGGCCACCTGCTTCTAGGAAGATGGCCGCCTTGGAAAACCTATGGAGCAGTTCTCCTCTGCCATACAGGGTCACCATCAACCTGACGAGAGCGGGTTTGTCTTCTCTGTTTGGGTTTGGTGTGAGTATTATAAGAGGGTAGGGATGCCACCCAGAAAGGGGGAGCACTTCTGCAGTAAAACTTCTGCATGGAACAGTAATCTTAGGGAACTCAGAAATGGTTCTCAGCTTCTAGAACCTGGAATCTAGTGCATCTAGTGCCCGCCACATAGTGCTCCCTCACAATGTTATTATATAAACTAATGAACATGGCATTTCTATGGCAATAGGAAAGAATGAGAGGGTAGGAAGCCAACGTGGCATTTGGAGGGTCTTTACCAGATTGTCCAGTTCGGGGTCATCGCTGAAGAAGGGCTTGTGCTCCTGTTCCTGCTGGTGAACAAAGTTCTCGATGTCCACATCAAAGCTGGCCGAGGTGATGCACTCTGAGCCCTGGGTGGCCTGTTCACACTTCTCAAACAGCAACGTCAGGAGAGGGAAAAGAGGGTGCCTGCGGGGATAGCAAGAGCTCACACATGTGCACACACAGAGATCAGCTGCTGGCTGGAGTCCCCTGCCCACCTTCCTTTGAAGGCTCCAAGGCCCCGCTCCTTGAAAACGTTCTTGGGCTTGATGGGTAACCTAAATGGCAGAATTTCATGCCCAGCATTCCCTGGTATGAGGCTCCAATATCCTGATTCCTGGGGTCCCAGAAGGCTTCAATTCCCACCCACGGGCATCTCCAGATATACATATACATGTATACATTGCCCGTTTACATATATGCACATATGCTGAATTTTGAGCTACAGTAATTCACACATGCTATGGAAATGAAGCCGTCTTTAAAGGATGTTACTTTGAGGACTAAGAAGCACTTAGCCTAAGCCATAGTCTTTAAAATCTACTCATATCCATGTGAAACTTGGACACTGAATAAGAAATATTGTATACAAATCAACGCTTTTGACTTGTGGTGCGGGCCGAAAGCAATGAAAATATCACGAACTGTCAAAGAACAAACATCTGTCTCGGACGAAGTTCAACCAGAAGGCTCCTGAGAAGCAAGGATGGTGAGACTTCGTTGCATGCCCTGTGGACATGCTGTCAGGAGAGACCAGTCCCTGGAGAAGAACGCCATGCTTGGTAAAGGGGAGGGGCAGCAGAGAGAGGAAGACCCTCGACAAGATGGGCACAGTGGCTGCAACAGCAGGTTCAACTACAGAAACAATTGTGAGGATGGCACAGGACCACGCGCTATTGTGTCGGAACTGACTTGACACACCTAACAACAACAACCACATGGAAATAACTGTGCTGTGCACATAAGCGTACCCACAGGTAGCATGTATGTATTGGACAAGTACTGATCAAGATATACATATTCTGCTAGAATGCTCCTTTGGGCCTGGTAAGCGGGATGGATATGGAGAGGGAGTGATGGGTTACAACCCTTTAGGCACCCATTTCTGGTTTAGGTCACCCCAGAAAGGAAATGTAGGAAGTGTCCAGAAAAGTCCTATCTGGAATCAACTGAGGGCAGAATCTGTATGCATGGCCACAATGCTTGTCCACACTTTGTAAGCACACGTCTCCACTTGTCCTGCATCTTTTGGCAGGGTCCATTTAGGTCAGACACCCCAATTACCTATGTTAATATATTCCTGCAATATTTCATCATTACCTATTTAGGACAACTATAATTAAACGACTATTTGCATAGTTACTTGTTCACTGTTTTTCGTGAAGGTCTTACCTGTCTTAATGATCCTTGTATCCCTAGACCCTTGTCCATGCATGCTTACAGTAGGAGTGACTAAATGAGTCGGAGTCCATGAATGGAAAAGCATCCATAGGAGTGTGTGTGTATGTCTCTATAATGTATCTGTGTATCTACGTGAGCTGAAGGACCTACTAAACAGCTCTATGGGTCTGATCTTGGGCATGGCCAATTCTGGAAAGCATCTCTGACTCCCCTTAGTTCTGCTGCTAAGCACCCTGAGGTTTTCGTCAGCTGCCTTTCCTACTACACCTCGAACTATGTGAGGGCAGAAATCAAACCCACTTTATTCATCACTGCATGTCCACACCCCAGCAGAATATGTGGATCTTGACAAGTACTCATTGAATGCATGCCACCTATGGTCTGCTTATGTGCATGTGTGGGGATCTATTGTATTTATTTCTATAGCATGTGTGAATTTCTATATCTCAGAGTTCAGCACGTCTGCATGGATGCGGATGGACTAAAGACACTGGACTCTGGAGAGCTCTGTTCCCTGCCAGTGAGGTTCCAAATTCCATCTGCACATCTCTCTGTGTTTTCTTTCCTTAGTCTCCTGGGGCTATCAAACTAGCCCCCCCCCCTTTTTTTTTAAGGCAAGCTCTTCTTAGTAGAAGATGAAGGGGAATGTGTCCCAGTGCCCAGACCTTTTTACTGTGCAGAACTTTCCTCAATGATGGAAATGTTCTATAATTTCGGCTGCCCAAATATGCTAGCCGTTCAGCAGATCTGGTCCTGAGTACTTGAAATGCGGCGGTTAGGACTCAAATGAAATCTTGTTTAAGTTTAATTTCAATCGGTTCATGTGTCTAGTGGTTACCACAGTGGGCAGTGCAGGGCGCCTTGGAGAGAAAACAGACCGTGCTTTCCTCTCCAGCACACTACGATGTATGCACTGAGAGAGGGCTGACCATCCAGTCCACAGGTGTTGTATGTCATAGGGGAAACCAGGAACAGTCTGTCCCATCCTGAGATTCTAGTAGTCCCAGGCAGGGAGACAGAAAGTGTCTTGTTCTATCCACACTCATAAACATCCCTCCCTGGTCTAACGGACTTGGGTGCCTGGGAGGTACAAATGGTTTGCATTTGACTACTAACTGAAAGGTTGATGGTTTGAGCTTACCCAGCAGTCCTATGGAAGAGAGATTACAGACGAGAAGACCCTATGGAACTGTTTGGCTCTGTAACATGTTGGGTTGCCATGGGTTGGAATTGACTTGATGCCAACAGATTTACTTTATGTTTAGTTTAAAACAAACAAACAAAAACCAGGCTCAGTGATAGGTAAACCCCAAACCCAACCCAAACCCATTACCATCTAGCTGATTCCAATTCATCGTGACCCTAGAGGTCTAAGGGATACTGTCGCATAAGGTTTCTAAGCCTATACATCTTAAGGAAGCAGACTCTCACAGGTGGATTTGAACCACCAAACTTTTGGTGAGAAGCAAGTGTCATGGTGGGTAAGAGGAGAGAAATTCCTGCTTCAGATGAGTTGCTTGACCTGCCAGCACCTGCCCCTGGAGATGATCTCTTTAACGTTTGATTTGGGCCTAATACATAAAGAGGTGGCACCAGTGCTATAGGCTGAGTGCACAAGGAAAAGGGGGTGCGAGTCTGGGGAGAGCCTACCTGCAGCCCCGAATTGCTAAAAGATCTCCTCAGCCCCACTAGGAAGCTGGTTGAGGAAGCAATGGGTTAGCTTAGTTATCTGGCTGAAGACAAAGAGAAAACCAGGTGAAGGGGCTAAACTCCAGTATAAGTCTCCGTTTGCAGCCACTAATACCATGGCATATTATAGTCTAATCTAACCTGATCCCAGTTTAATGCAAGATTCTCCTGGCCCTGAGTGGAATACCAAAGAAAGCCTCAGTGGCTGTAATTGAAGCAGAGCCCTGCAGTGGTTTAGCTAAGGGACATGAAAGGCAAATTCCAGGCGGTGTTATGAATTATTGTGCCTTATGAACCTTCCTACTCTCAACAGATGCCTGCTGCCATTTAAACAGCCACTAGATCAATTAGGAATGAAAGGCACAAATCGACTCTGTACAAGGGCACTAAATTACCAGGAGCTAATAATCTGTAGCCTCGTGCCAGGTGGTGGGAGTGCAGTCCTGAGCCCCCAGCCCCCTGCAGCAGCACACTCACTGCGCAGTCCCCTTTCACAAGCAGCGGTCAGCTGCTGAAGGAAGAGAGCATGCTCGGCTTGCGTGCGCCTATGTGTGTGCCTTGGTTAAGCATATGCAGCCAAGGGGAGTTAGGATGTGAGTGTTGTCTAGATGGGATTTCATGTATGTTTTTATTTTGTACACACACACACACACACACCGTGTTGTATATGTGAGTATGTATTCATGCCTGGGCTGTGTGCATGCAATTTGGGGACTGATTTTGTGTGCTGTGAATACAGTGTATATGTCTTATACTGCATGCAGCATGGGTGAACATGTGCATGTTATGTGTGTGGGCTGTATGTTCTGTGTACACAGTACAGGTGATGTGTGCCTGCTGAAGAAGCGGGATCTGTGGCAACTGAGTCCTTCGGCCCCTACTACTAGAACTAGGGTTGGGGTGAGGGAAGAAGATGGTCTCTGCTGTGCTCTGTGTCCCCAAGGGAAGAAGCTTCACTTAGGGTGCTCAGGAAAGGCCTCTCTGAGGGGTAGCATTTAAGTTAAGCCTTGAATGATGTGAAGGTAGTCTTGCAGAGAGCAGAGGGCTGGATGTTCCAAGAACAAGAAAAGCAATAACACAGCACTTTAGATAGGAATGAACTTGGCACGTTTCAGGAACAAAATCCAGGCAGGTGTAGGTGGACCAAATTAGGTGGGAGGAAGAGGAGGATGAAGAGGTAAGCAGAGGGCACATGATAAGGCTCTGACAATGCTTGTCTGTGGAGGTGGTGGCCAGCATTGCCACTTACAATGGGCACAGAGCCTTCCAGGCAGAGCTATGCATTATGGGTCCATCTCATAACCTCTTTCAACTCTCTCCAGAATAGGTGGAGGTGACCATTATCTGGAGGTGGGTGTTTCTGATCTCTCTCAGAAGAGAGAAGCATGCTTTCTGTTCTCCCCCTTTAAGATCACTAAGGGTCCATGGAAGACAGGCAGGGGTAGCATAGATGTGGGCAGCCAACCCCTTCGACATCCCTCCCCAGGAGCCTGAGCACTGGAGAATAGGGCTGGGAGACCAGTGATCTGCACTATCAGCTCCTCAATCCTCCCTTCTTATGGCCCCCCTCCTGATTCTGGTTCTTCCCGCCCAACCCCAGGTCTGTCTCCATGAGCTGAGGTGGCCCTGGGTTGCACTTGAATCCCTCCATGAAACCACACCGGGGCCCAGCCCTGAAGGTGGAGACGGCTGAAATCCTGCACGCCTCTTGGGAAACAGACTCAGTTGTCCAGAGATTCAGATGGATTTTATGGATGCAATCATGCTTTGCTAAGCTATTCCCAGCCCCATTCTGGGAAAATCATGTGCCCCTTGCCTAGCCTACACCTGCCTAAGGGTTGACTTACAAGTCCTAAGCCACCCTCCAACATTACCACAAAAGGCTAGCAGAGGCTGCCAGCCACCCACAAGGAACTCTTTAAGCATGCTGAGCTTCGGGTTTAGGGCCAGAGTAGGGCAGGGACACCTTAGACTAATGCCTGAATCAAGGAAGGGGCTCCACTTAGGTGTGGGAACTTGGTTCTGTTACTCTTGGCTCCCCTTGAGCCTCAGTTTGT